AGAGAGAGAGAGAGAGAGAGAGAGAGAGAGAGAGAGAGATCTGGTTCTGTGTGCGGTAGGGTTAGGAGATATTCAGATTTTGACACCACTTCACTGTTTCCTCATTACACCGGGGTGTACGGTAATACCGTTGCTGATTTTAGACTTACTTTGCAGCTTACGATCGCCGCAAGTCTGTCTGGACTCGTAGCAGAAATCTGCAATCAATTTTGTTTACCTTTTAACCGAATTCGAATGGATTATTAATTATACTTTCGCTTAAAAAAAAAGTCATAGCCCCCCCAAAAAATAAATACAATTAAAAAAAAAAACATCCAATTTTATAATAATAGTAAATGGTAAATGAAGTACAGTATTGCTTACAGTGATTCATCTACACCATGTTGTCTAAAACAGTTTTTGAAAAGATACCAATACGCTAATGATAACGTAGCTTCAACCTTTGGTTTAAAATAACTTACTTTAACCATAAACTATCGAACGGCAGAACATAGGGTGTTCTTCCAACCATCCATCATTTCTTTTTCTGAAGCATTCATACTTTTGGACTAATTTTAAATCAATGTGCTTGTCGTAAAGCGGCTATCTAGCGCCAAGATAACCTAGTATTTTCGTCTCATCTCCGGCATAGATATGGCCCAACTCCGTTTGTATGCCGCTGTGAGAGACTAGCAGACAAAGGTGTTAAACTGTCTAGCTGGGCTTTGGTGACTGCTTAAGAGTTTAATTTAATGCTCAATAGCCGGCAACTCCACTTGCTCTAAGTTTGCCACTAGCCGGGCATTAAATGACAACTGCACACTTTAGCCTCTCCTTTCTCTTCACTCTTAACATATTTAATTCTTTTTGTTATTTTGACACAGATTGGTTTGTTACAAATATCAGACATGCAGCAATGATATAAGCCGTGTGCTATTTTATAATGTGCCATTTCACCACAGCAGCCACTCAGAGTGAGGGATCGATATCAATGCCGTATCTATAAATATTTATGCGTTGACAGCCGACTGCCTGAAATGTACATATTTTGCTTCCTTTTTTGAAACGATCATCAGCCCCCGTCGCATTTCAAAATGTTTTGCGCAACTTGGCGACTTCTTTGAGCTGTTGGCATCTGAACTAACCACCGAAAAAAATGTGAAATTTCTGTAGTTGCATTTTGGGGGAATCAATGCCCTGGAGTTGCGAGCTATGCAACTGCCATCTTTGATGCGCGTGCAGAAATTCACTCTGCTGGTCCAAACACACTCAATCTCATCAGAAGTGCATAAGCATCAGAGTGAATTTCCATACGCGCCCTTTGTCACCTGGGGGGCTTGTCCCTTGTCTCATGTAGTCCTTTGGGCTGTCATGTGATGAATAGAATGTTTATCCCCATGCAGTTACAAGAAACATTATAGCCTACTATTAGTTTACTTATAATAATACTGAGTTGAAAACATGATTGCACATTTGTATGTTCAATCCAAAAATATATATATTTAATATCATATTAGGTCCCCATGCACTGCATATTTATGAAGGTCTTAAAAGTGACAAAGTTGCTATTTTTAGACACTTCAGGATAACATATCACCGAAATACCACCCAACCCTAGCGTGTGGTGTGCAAATCAAAAGTAATCAGGTACTGTGTGATGAATTTCCCCATGTGGGAACATAACTTGAACATGTTTTTCAAATAATTACATTATCTGACAGACAGACTGACACAAATGTACAGGTTCAAAGAGAAAGACGACAGATCCGCATTTACTGTAGTACATTATAGTAAAGAACAAGCATTTAAAATGCTTGCCCACAATGTCATAGCTAATACAGCCAGCACATCATTTTGACAGACTAATCCATTTTTCAAAGTTGACCTTCATAAAGCTTTTATGAAGATGACAATTGGTGGTACAGACTGTGTCTATATCAATTATTACCTCAAGGGAAATATGTCCAAATAATACATGCAGGCAAGTCACCTGTTTGTGAATTCTTCACTATGAAAAATTATATGTGTCTCTGTTTACTTTTTTTGGGACTCACTTTGGCAAAGCCTCTTTACCTACCAGCCAAGTCAACATCCATAACGTTGACAATGCCGTAAAATTGCGGTCATGTCATCAAGTGTTCAGTTTATGTATCACAGTAATTTCGCAGATGGGTAAAATTGGGAAAAATGCACTTAAGAGAATTTGTCCTTGAAATTGATCATCCAAATTAAATCGGTCAATCACGCCCTGTCTTTTAATGACCATTTATTCTTACTGCAAATGCCATTAACCGTATTTGAACGCAAGACAAAGTACACGTACATATACACAAGGATAATGTCGAATTAAAAAATAAATAGTTGTGATGACTACAGTAAAAACACCTAGGGTACAGCTGTGACAATCGAATAAGATAGACTGATGGAATAATCAGTGTAGCTCTTAGGGGTGTCATCACTCATTTTAAAACAGCGATAACATCTCTGACAGGCCTCGTCTTGACTTGTGTTCGCCTCTCTCGCCCACAGTGCTAGCTTGGTGCTTTCCGACGTCACTATTGGATTAGCTGGTTAGCTGCTACTAGTAGCGTTATCGTTTAGTCTCCGCAAGACGTGTGCAAATCTTATCACGAGGGCGATGTGATGAAAATACTAGGCCATCGCAAAAGTTGACGATATGCGCAGGAGTTCATCCTTGACAAAGTTACATCCTTACCTGTTTACATTAGCGAGCTAGCTGCTAACAGCGGCTGCGACGCCAGCTGCTGGTGGCAGACGGCCTGCGTAGTAGATGCCCTTCTCCGGCAAGTAGTCGTGCGCCTGAATCGTCCTCTCCCACGATCAGTGCGTCAGCAGGCGTCATCTGAAAAGCTCGGCTTCGTCGAGCGAATCGTAGGCGACCTAGTTAAATGGATGCAAAATTCGCGTTCACACCTCTCCGTTCCGTCAACTTCAACCTGCCTTTACTACATCCTCCTCTTCATCCTCATCTGAGGAAAGTTCCGCAATCCGCATATTGCGGTGGTGACTACTCGAACGGAAGCTGCATCAAGCTTCGCGGAACTAGGAGCTCATTTCCATTCTCACTCGATGGTGAAAAAAAACACTTATGTAATTATTTAATGTCACAGAGAAAAATCAAACTCAGTTTTGTTACTTACATTAGATCAATTAACTAATTATAATGAATGAAATCAAGTAAATAAACGAATTTTATAAAATTAGGGGAAAAATGCAAAATAATGCAGCTTGTTCAAACCACTGTTTGTTCTTGTATTATTTGCAATAAACCACTTTACCAGTTATTTGGTGAGCCAAAATAATGCAAAATAAATTACAATATATACATTTTAATAGCCGTTGTAGAAGAAAAATATGGCTTAATTAATGCAACATGTTGTTTTTGTACTCTTGATGATGTAAATACTCGGTGGGTCAAATTAAAGTATGGAGCGATATGTGGTCCATGCCCCATACTTTGCCTGCCGGGCATTAACAAGTGCACTTGTGATATTAATTGTGAGGATCTGTTAAGTCAAATCTTAAGACTTGACTACTATAAAAGACATTGTTGTCAAGGGTAAAAGTCTTTCACGATTAGTTACATTCGGTTTAGCATCAATGTCAACATTTTGCATAACGAGGTTAATATATACTCTACGTACTAACTAAAAAACACTTCAAGTATCTTCAGCTTACCAACTGGATGCCCAAATCATTGTTTCTATTGCGGTTTGGTGCACAATATACAGTAAATGTATCTAGATTAGGAACAATGATAACAATTTAGAGGTATTCATGGAAAGGTTTCATAATAAAACAACACTATATTGATCTGAAATATGTGATTACTACACAAAACCTCAGGTCTTACATTATTATTCAGATTACCGGTATATACGATTATCAGAGAGAGAGAGAGAGAGAGAGAGAGAGAGAGAGAGAGAGAGAGAGAGAGAGAGAGAGAGAGAGAGAGAGAGAAAAAAAAAAAAGAA